ATATTATACTAATATTGTTAATATACTATAATAATGTATAAATATTTTCTTACCTATCTAAAGATAACCTGATGATCTTATCCTGAAGTGGATTTTACACAGGTTTGTTACTGAATCACGCTAGCTAATATATATGAGTCTAACATATTGTAGGAGTTGTGATTTTTGGGCTTTGCTGTAAAACATTATAATGCTGTACACATTCAGCACTTTTACAATGTGCTCATAAAAATGACTGGATTTCAGTTTGTAATCATAGTGGAGCTGTTAGCTGTACTTCTCTTTACTCAGGTAATACGACTTTGAGTTATTATTTAGACAAGAAACTTATCATTGTTTCAATCCTACTATTAGGGTTTACATAGAGACTGCAGTGTAATCAGACTTGTAGTTAGCACAATGTTCCAATAAATTCTCCCGGCACACTTGGAAAGCATTATACAACTGAAGCCTATGGCATGAGCACACAAATGCCATTTTTGCATTCTTGATCTAAATCAGTTCTTCGTTCCCAGGTTTTGTTGATAATTTCAGCCTTCATTAAGCTGATGTCAGCTGACATTGGGAGACTGTCATAATGTAGCTTAAAGTACACTATATGCAATGTTAGACTGATCCAAAAGTAAAAAAAGTTTCTCCTGGTGTCCTGGCCCAGATTGGTTTCTCACTTCAAGGCTGCTTGTGGCCATTTCTGTGTGTAAATTTGGCCATCATGTTCGGCTAAAAAATACACATTCATTCCATTTTGCAGTTAAAATCCTGTGAAGTGCTTTGAGGCGTCTTCTCAACATGACGCATGAGTTTTCTAAGACTATAAGCAATGCCACATTATACTTGCCTCTCTGTTGTCTGTGTACAATTGTGCCAGTAGCAACTACAGTATATTTGATATCTTTAATATCCTTGCTTATGATATAGCACCTTTCATGTCGGGAGGGCATCTCAAAGCACTTCACAGGATTTACTGTAGAGTGAAAGACTATATTTTGTAGGTGAATGCAGCAGTAAATTTTGTACACAGCAATGTCCTACATTCAATTTTTTTTGACATTTAAGCACTAAAGGGGTAGTTTAAGTAAAATGAAAAATAATACCTTGCAAAACTAGTTACATTGACATAAACCTGCAGTTTGCTGCAGGCTGTCACCCACAGACCAATGGGTGTCCAGCTGAGATATGGTGAGTCATTGGTTCTATCCCTGTCAAACCAAACACATGCTGCATTCAATAGCAAGGACAGATTGAGCTGCTGAGCCTTTCCAATCACTGACTAGGTGGTATATGTCTGGAGGTTATGTGATTAGTTGTACTGGCAATTGCTCAGATAATGTTTCTAGTTTTTTTTAAAACAAGAAAACATACAATAATAATGCATTGCAACCGAATAAGGAAGTTGTAGTCTTGGAGATCAGATAATTGCCTAAAACAACACAGTGAGCCTAAAGTTATTCTAATGGGCATCACCTGAAGTTTCAGATTAAATTGCAGTTTAAGTATTTTTTCCCAACTATCAATCAGTTTATCAGTTTATAGCATATACTGTAATTTCAATACAATATTCACAAGTTAGTGGCAATGATCAATAATGCTTGAAATGTATTGATTGAAAATGCTGAGATGCTATTGTGATGTTGTCACAAAAATACTGTAACAGAGTCACTGGAGGATTTATGAAGGCAATTAATTTGCATTCCTAAAATAGATTTACAAGGGACTTAAAAAACTACTAGAGTAAACTGTATCAGGAGTAATGGAGGTAGTTGGAAGACAGTTACACATTGATAGGTGAAATATTGTATATCACACTGACTGAGACTATGACAATAAATCTTAACATCTATTATGACAGTATATCTGATCTGAACTATTGTTTTTACTGTCTTTGTGGTATTCTTGCCACCCATCCTATCATTTTATCTGTTTGTAATGACACCTTTTATTATGATATAATGCATCAAAATGTCTCAAAGTCCTTCACAAGATTTTGTTGTAAATTTTGTAGGCAAAACCCAGCAACCAATTTGTGCTGAAAAGGCTTAACATTTTAATAACACCCTGAAAATAGGCCAATAACATTTTGGTAAAACAAAATTTAAAATGCCGTTTAAGATTGGCATTGTAAGTTAAATTTTGATAGATTCAACATTTAAGACTATTACCATGGGAGTGAGAGGGTATAGGTGAAGATACTATTTAATGAAGAATACACCAAAAATAATGTGTTATGCGGTACTTTAATTTGATTTAATTTGACCATTTAAAGTGGAAATTACAATATAGTTTTAACATACAAAATAATCACATACAGACCACAGCACACATCCAACAATGACACTGTTGCCTCATAACAATATTGCAACACTAACTGGAGAGCATTCACAAGTACACAATTCAGCTCACATTCTCTTAAAAAAGTACTTAGAGCTTTCAATGGGAACACCATAGGTATAGTTTCACATCAAAGTTGAATTTCCATTTGAAACCACATACGGTGTTATTTCATTCAAAAAGAAACAAACTGGCCATTCTGAGCCAAATGCTGTTTTAGTACTGACATTGCTCTTATCTAATTCTGTTGGGTTAAAAACCGAACAACGTGATTATAGTATATTATTATGGTTAAAATTTTAGACTGTAATTCGACAGAAATTGTCCAGCTCAGTAAATAGCATCCTGATTCAGGTGAATGGTTCTTAAGGTACTAATACTCATGTGCTTTGAATAATTGCCTTGATAAATAACAAATAGAAACCACTTTGTGGTATCTTTGAAAACATTTCCTAAGAAACATATTTGGCGTGCCTTCTTGTTGCCGGCATTCGAGTTAGTGTATTAAAGGTTGGTCTATCATTTGGAAACCAGGTAGCTGTCTTAAAAAAGTTACTTAAGGTTTTATGCCAGTTGATGAAATGCTAATAATGCTAATAATACTTGCATTTGATGTTATGTCTTTCACATCGGGAGGACGTCTCAAAACGCTTCATGGGATTTATTGTAAAGTGTAGTGATTGTGTATCTTGCAGGCAATTATTGGGCATTGAAGGTTATTTTAATTTGCAAATGACTAGGGATTTCTCTGAAATACTCTTGACACACTCACTTTGCCATATCACAATAACAAAATACTATACTTTAAAAAGGAAATAGGAAGGAATTACAGTCACGTTGTGCTTTTAGAATTACATCTCACGCCAACAAAGACCTACCATGACAGGTATGCAACAGTTTAATACATTTACAGCTTCAGTATTTATACAGTAAACTAATCTATGCCATTAGTGGAAAACACAGTGACACCATTACTAGAGGGGGGTACATCACATGGTGCACCAAGAGATAAATTGAATAAATGGCTGTGGCAAGTTATAGAAGCTGGTAGAATTTATGTTCATTAAAAAGCATTCTCCACAGTAAACACATTTCAGTGAAAGGGTTTTCAGGTTCAGTCAATTGCTGTTGTAGTAAATTATCAGACTTGTTACAAATCACACCGACATGCCAAAATAATTCACAGTACTTCTCTTCACTGGCAATGTGCGTGAAGGAAATTACAAAACTTGCATTCAACAAACAAGCAAGATCCAAATGTAATAAATAAAAACAGAATTAAAAACAACAACTTGCATTTGTATAGCGCCCCTCACACACGGTAATGTCCCAAAGCGCTTGACAGTGGCTGAGCCCAACGCCGAGCTGGGGAGGGGGGGAAGGTGAGCGTAGGCATGGTCGAAGAGGAAGGTCCACAGGCATGACCTGAAGACGGGGAAGGAAAGGGCAAAGTGCGAGTTCCAGAGTGGCTGAAAGTGCGGATGCCGATCGTGAAACGGAGGGCATGAAGGACATGCAGAGCCAGTCGATTGGAGGGAGCGGGTTGTGGGTTACAGGGCAAGCAGATCAGAGAGATAGGGAGCTGCCAGGGCATTAAGGGATTTGAAAACAAGTGTGAAGATCTTGAAATCGATTTGTTCAGCGATAGGGAGCCAGTGGAGCCTGGCTAGAAGTGGTGTGATGGAGATACGGAGGTTAGTACGGGCGAGTATGTGGGTGGTTGAGTTTTAGATCAGCTGGATCTTGTGCATGGTGGAGCTGGGGGGACTGGCAAAGAGGGCATTGAAAAGTCGAGTCCGGATATAACGATTTGTGTGTCATCCGCAAACATGTGCAAGTTTACCCCATGTGCGTGGATGACATCGCCAAGAGGGAGCATATAGATGAGGAAGAGGAGGGGGCCAAGAATGGAGCCTGGGGTACACCACATGTGACTAGGCGGGGGCTGGAGGAGAATCTGTTTGAAGAGACAATGTGAAGGCGGTTTGTTAGGTAGGACTCGAACCAGGCTAGTGCGGTCCCACTAAGGTGGATGAGGGAGGAGAGGCAGTGGATGAGGATGGAGTGGTGGACTGTGTCAAACACGGTGGAGAAGTCCAGGCAGACGAGGAGGCAGAGGGAGCTCTGGTCACAGTGAGAGAGGACGTCATTTGTGACCTTGACGTTGTGGGCAAGGCGGAAACCAGACTGGAGGGGCTCAAGGAGGCAGTAGAGCAAAGCTGGTGAGCAACAACGCGTTCCAGAGCTTTGGCAAGGAAGGGCAGGTTGGAAATGGGTTGGAGGGGTCAAAGTAGGTTTTTCGAGGAGGGGAGTAATGACAGCAGTTTCAAGGCGGAGAAAAACAGAACCTGAGGAGAGCGACTGGTTGACTGTGTCGGACAGCAGCGGGGAGAGGAGGGGAAGTTGGGTGACCAGCAACTGGGTGGGGAGGGGGTCGAGGCAGCAGGTGATGGTCTTCAATATACATATATAAATTCCCTTCTATTGGAATGCCTGTAGTCATGTAATTACAGCATAAAATTATTTCTGTTCTAACATTACATAAAGATAAGATTTTAGCGCTCTTAAAAGTCACATTACACTAAGGCCACACAATGTATAAGTTGTAAATGCACAATTTCATGCACAAGTTTTTTCCTAAATATACACATACAATAGTCAGTAGTCGTATAGAGGGGCCACTTATTTATTTCTCACCAAAATTCAAAATGATAAGTTATATTCTATCTGCTCAGACAGAATCTACCACAGATGCCAGGAATAAACAGCATATAAGCAGGACAACACATGTTGGTGTATTTCAATAAGTTTACAGATATTACTGTCTCAATGCAACATAAAAAGCAACCATTAAGGCATTTTATAAAGTGATACTTACAGCAACCATCAATACTTATATCAATCACCATCTCTAAATTTTAACACATAGACATTATTAACACGTGCCATTTTTAAATCATATTTCCGTTTACCAATATCACAAAAGTACTCAATGCCAATTTATAATCCAATAACTAACTTGAAGCTTGATGCTGTTGAAATCTCAGAAAAAGATACGGAAACAAAGACCCCTGGGACAGGTTACATTTGATTAGTAAAAGAAGTTGGAGGATTCTGGGCAAAACCACCCTGACCCACACCTTGTTGACCATATCCTCCAATCTGACCGTAGGAAGCTTGCTGCCCGTAGCTCGCTGGCTGTTGTCCGTAGCCAGCTTGCTGGTTGTAACCGCCTGTTTGACTGAAGCTTTCTTGGTCATATGCACCTTGATTGTACGGTTGGTTAAAGCCACTTGGAGCAGTATGCTTTTCCATGGTGCTTTGAGGTTGCCGTTGCCCTGACGTGTGCCAGCCAGTCTCCTTGAACACAAACCAAATATTTCCAGCCCACAGGATGAAGTTAAGGAATCCAAAGATCTAGGAAGTAACAACATTTGCAACTTTCAGCTATTTTACGACTATTCTGGATGTCAGATTTTATAAAGCAATACTGATGTCACTCACTACAGTTCTGAAGAAACGGCTTGCTTGCAAGCAATAATTATCTAGTTGGATGCAAAGTGCCCAAAAAGTGTTCCAAACACTTCAAAGAAAATTGAACAGAAAATGAAGGTGGGGGATTCCCATTGGTCCCACCAGGACAACGTTTTACCACCTCCGCCACATTTCCCGCCTCCGTCTGTACCTCACAACCAACGCAGCTGAAACCACGCCTTCGTCACTTCCCAGCTGGACTATTCAAATACCCTCCTCTCCCCAGCTCCACCATACACACATTCCAATTAATTCAAAACTCTGCCACCTGGATGCTCACCCACACAAAACTCCATACCCCATCACACCAGTGACCAGGCTCCACTGGCTCCCAATTACTGAACGGATCAATTTTAAGATCCTCTCATTCGTTTTCAAATCCCTTTATGCCCTCTCACCTCCCTACATATCCGACCTGCGTACCCCGCACCCCCCACATGCTGCCTACGCTCAGTCAGCCCCTGGTCTCCTGTTTATCCCTCCCTTTCCCCCTGGCTCTTTGTCACTGTCAAGCGCTCCAGGACACTATCCCGCTTTGAAGGGTGCTATATAAATGCAAGTTGTTGTTTATTCTTGGATTACTTAACAGAACCAGCAGTCCACTTACTCCCTAAATATAGCGTCAAAGATAAGAGCCTTCAGAGCACAAAGCAGAAATAATTATTTTGAGAAACAGAGCCAGTATTTCATGACAGTGTGCATTAGTAATTCTGTGTAGATGGGAATCTGGATGGCTCTACCACCTGTAATTGCTATCATTAAGCCATCAACAAAATCAGACCTTGTAAGACAAGCACCAAAAAATGCAGGAAGGCAGCAAAACAACAATGTCTTTAGAAAATTGCTCCTGACATTCACATTCTGTAGGTGTTATGTGACCTTTAAAACCTTTTATCATACTTTTTAACCAGCAAAAATGACAGCTACAATTTGAGCTCTCCACATAATTATCCTTAGGAACTGGATTACCATGTAATTTATTATTATAATTTCTAGCACATCCTGATGCAAAATTGTTATCTTCTTGAGGATGCTGGTGGTAATTATTTTATATCTTATGCCTAAATTATTTATATCTCAAATTAAGTTGATTTCTGAACTGTAACACTATGAGATGTGGATATTAGACGATTAAATTGTCACACCTTGTGAAAGAATAAGACTGGACTATTCCATGTGCCATGTTGTATTTCCTTTTGTTGTAACACTGTATTTGTTGTATTTCTGTCTTGATTTCAGTGTGAAACCTGAATGCATGGTTACAGCACTGTAATGACTCTGAATATCGTTACCAATTTCCTACCAATTAATGATCACATTTGTGCAGCAGGATTGCAAGTGATGGGAAGCTATCAAACTTCCACCAGCAGAGATAAGTTATTTTCTCAATTAGGTCTGGATTTGAGTCCAGTATTGCTCTCTATTCAACTACTAAAAGCAATGCATGAATCACTTATGGGCCTTGGCTCTCTCATTTTTCCAGGATTGCATAGTTGAAGATAGACACTATCTATATGGAACGTGGCAGATATTAACCCTTATCTTACCACTTGATGGTATGTCAAGCTACATTTCACTCTTTACAGACAGCGATGTTCAACTTACAACAGACGTATTTAACCCTGACATTGCAGGGTTTCTGACAGGCAAGCATTTGTTGTTCTGCTGTTTGCAGGCTGACATCAGGAGGAGCACTTCATCAGGATCCGTGGCAATCTTAACGTCAGAGAGCCCTTTTGCCCAGGCTGAGGAACTCACAAGCCACATGAATGAAAAGATCACGGTCACAATGAAGTCCTGGGAGGAGAGGAAAGAATTGAACACAACCACTTAAATTAAATATTCAGAAGTTTTGCTCGAAAGAAAGGAAAAAAAGACCCCCACCCCCTCAAAAAAAAGATTTTAACAACATCTTGTATTATATAGCACCCTTCATGCGTTCTAATGTTCAGGAACACTCAAAAGTATTTGAGGGGTAAATGAATAAAGTTGTAAACCTGCCAACCATTGACAAAGGGAGCATTGGCATGCAGATAATGAGCTAATTTCAAAACTCTGGAACACCAATTCTTCCATTCCATCATTACAGGGCAGAGATGATCTCACAGCAGTGAGCTCCTCCTTACCCCGAGCTGTGACCCTGAAGGTTCACTAATAATAGACATTTTTCCATTGACAACTCTAATTAAAATGTCCCTCCTTGGTGAGGCAGATTTTCACAATACCAAGTAGAAAAATAACTGCCAGAATTGTACAGTTGCAACACTGAGAAATTCTATATTTATCAGCACGTGGTTGATTTTATTATAGAGGCACACACTCCAAAATTGAACAGGCTTCCTTCCTTTAACTAAAGAATTTGTTTTGTTTCGACAAACAAATTATTCCAATAGAGTTAAAGGACAATGTACTCAATTGTCTGAAGAGAAAGGATGTTATTTCAGTCTGTTCTACAATATGTTGAATTACCGGCATTTGTTGAAAATAGGAACACTTGGTAGTCATTAAACCATTATACAATTGACATTATTATTCCATTGTATTATTGAAAAATAGTGACTTTTTATATATTAGAGGTGTGTGTGTGGACGATATTTCATCCTGATCACACAAGATGAAGCAACTTTTGATGTAAATTAGGTTTGACCAACGTCAGTTTCTCAGCTAATCTGTAGATTTAAATGTCAGATGATATTATGTGCAAATAATTCAGTATCAGTCATAACTGCACTGTTAGTTTGCAGTTCAGTTGATTGCAGGCAAATGCATACCTTATACAAACATACAATTTCTGTGCATCAAACAATAGGCACCTGCCTGATGTCTTAGGTAAATGTTCAATTCTTTTGTTTTCTTCTAACAATTCTGTACTTCCATGGAGGTTGCAGCATAAACACTCATTTTTCCTGTTGCTTTCGATTTAGCAAATTGATACAAAGAAGCTCGGAATTACAGGTTTTCTGTGTGTGTGTTGAGATTGATAATTCTCAACTAACTTGCTTCACTGGGGACAACCCCCGGTGTTAAAGTGTCAATCACTGTTGAACAACTTAAAGAGCCATAAAGTGCCTCACTGTTCATCATAAGAATGTTTCTGCTGCCTGACCCCAGAGCTGATTATTGTGCTGGATATAGTCTCACTGCCAAAGGGTAATAAAGTCAGAAACAAAAAACATTATTCTGTATTGCCTTGAAAGACCAAACCATTCATTTGTTACCAATATTTTCCTATCCACACCTTTCTAGGGATAATATTCATGGTTTGTGTATGTTTTAATGATTGTTTTTATTTCTATGACCAATGAAATTTATTTTCCGATATGCAAAACAAAGTTACTCTCATCTACTAAGGTGATAGTTACACAACAGAAATTACATAGAAGGGCATTAAAATGTTCTCGAAATGGCTGGAAGGAAGAAATCAAATGATCTGAAGGGCCTTCTTCATCCGAAGCAATCTTGTGATTTTGTGAATGCACAAATTGCAACCTTGTATACTTCTACTGCTTGTAAGTGCTTGTATTATTCCAGGTGTCCTGGCCAACAATCCATCAAATAAAATTTGTTACTCACTTTATAACTATTGTGCGAAAATTGGCTGCCACATTTGTCTACAAAAATACACAGTCATTACACTTCGCGGTATATCCTGGGTAATGTTTCTAGACATCCTCCCAACCTAAAAGGATGCTATATCAAACACAACATTATTTTGGTTTTACTTTCATAACCAGGGGACTCAAAGATTTTAGTGTCAAAACTGCTGCATTTGTCTGAATAGTGGTAATGCACAGACATAGCTGAGAAGCCCTTGCCCCTGCCATCTAGGATTCTGGCATAGCAGAGAACATTTTCTAATGCCAAAAAACATAATTCCTTGGATACTCAGGAGATATTGGCCTAACTGAATGTGAGCTAGGACAGCATTCTGTGAATATGACAGAGAAGGAACATTTTACACCTCCTGAAATTGCTGAAATTTGAAAGTGCGACAACATTTTTTCTTTCCTTTTAATTTGTTTGGGATTTTTAAAAAGAAACTACATTTTTTTTAAAATTACTTTTCTCCAGTTCACCATGCGGCACCACAGCACTAAATTGAAAAAAATAAGTCCTTTCTTATGAAACTCAAGGTTTCACACGCTCTGAATATTCATTTCATAAAATCTACATTTTGAAAGGAACGCAAAACCTTGATCTCTGACCTATCTCAATAGATGCTAAACACCAGCTTACTCTATGGATATTATATTTCAGCAAAAGATCTTTGGAAGTCGCTGCCTAATGACTATTAGCTTATCCATTAAATACAACACTTGTTTAAAAATCGAATATTTACAAAGAATTACACATTTATCTTTATATCCTTCGTGGAGTCCTGTAGCTCAGTGGTTAGAGCACTCGCTTTGCAAGCGAGAGACCTAAGTTCAATTCCAGGCAGGGCGAAACCTTGGGCAAGTTTCCTTATTCCACACACCTAATAATAATCCCTCCAAAACCAAAAACAATAATAAAATTGGTCATTTTCAATCTACGACTGTTTGTGGGACATTGCTGTGCGCAATTGGCTGCCGCGTTCGCCCACAAATATACAGTCAATTCACTTTACAGTGTGTTCTGCGAAGCGCTTTGGGAAGTCCTCCCGACATGAAAAGCGCTATATCAAATGCAAGGATTATTATTATTATTATTTTATTTCAATCCAAATTTTTCAGACAAATTAACAGATATCAAATTAATCCTAAACCTCTGTAATTAAAAATCATGATCTGTGCACTAAAAAATGTTTAAATGTTAACTACTTAAATTATTTTTAGATGTTATAAACACTTAATGTTGCTTGGGTTAATACAATACATCTTCCACAACTGCATTGTGCACACTGGAGCTTAGTTGCTATGGCAGAGTTTGTGCAGTGGAAGTGCTGTTTACTTGTACAAATGTTAAATGTTGTTTGTATTTATGACTTCAAGATATTTAGTTGAAAAGATCAGCTCACATCCATGAAGAGAGTGCACATTCCATTTCAAAAACCTATCTCTGGAATTTCCATATGTAGGTAGGATGCATGGAATTCTCAGTTTGGTTTGGATTCTCTTAAACATGGTGCTGGGTTTCTGCATGTGTCAGACACATAAAAATGGCTCCAGCCAGAACTGTGCTTAAAGGTCAGCTCTGCACTCTAGGCTTTCTGAATGAACAGTTGGAAGCTTTTATCAGACAGCAGACAGAGGAGAGCACGAAGCAGACCCAGCATATTCAAAGCTCTCGGCTTTGTAATGTTTAGAATGCGGAACAAAGGAATTTCATATGCAATCCCGAAAAGCTTTGAAAGCACCTGTCGCAGTGGCATATACCTGCGACATATTCCTGGGCATCTACACATTCCTTTTTTGTCACAAACTTGTGCTATATTCTTTCCCTAATAACATGACAGAGGTTTGTGTCAACTTAGTATGTGTGTGTTTCCTTTCTTCACTTTTAAAAAAATGCATATAAAGCAGCTTTCACATCAGCAGGACGTCTCAAAGCACTTCACGGGGCTTACTATGAAGTGTAGTATCCATGCATTTTGTAGGTGAATTGAGTTAGAATTAGTCATCTAATATTAAAGCTAAAAGAACTTTTAAAATCAGAGCATTCAAATGAATGATAACTTCCTCACTCTGTTCATTTGGTGAACATGCTCAATTCATTAGTAAGCATCGATGATATTGTCAGGATGAGTGGCTTGGAGGAGCGTCTTACAGGGAGGTGAATTAACTTGCACAAGGGCACTGAAGCATCCCAAACTAATAACTGTATTTACTGATGTTAATTCAGCTGCTTCGCACTGTAGCTGAGTAATTCTTCCATAACAGTTCACTCGATAAAATCTTTGGCACTCACTGTCTAAACAGAAATATTCAAAGTTTTAGAGACTTACAAGAATAGCACAAAAGAGTGAGGTAATGAGATAGTGAGGGGAGGGGGATGCAAGGTCCAGTCACCCACAACAACAACTTGTACTTATATAGCGCCCTTCACGCAGGATACTCCAAGTATTGGATAAATGGACAATTACTTTTGAATTAAATTACACAATCAATCCACTTTACAATATATTCTGTGATGCGCTTTGACACGTGTCAATGACTTGATAAGGCGCTAAATTAAATGCAAGGATTATTATTATTATTGCTGGTAAACTCCCAGTTTTAGCTGTTAAGATGACAAAACAGATACCTACAATTTATTCCCCGACTGTGACATAAGGCAATGCCACTTACACCAAGAACAACTAAGAAGTGATTTCTGTCAATCATCTGGTTACATACATTTCAATTTCAATGGTAACCATTTGTTATCACCACAAGCTACCATCTCCCTGTTCTACTGAATATTGCTTTTAATATGAGAAGCAAAATCTCTTTACAAATCTTTAATGAAACTTTCGACAAGAAATATTCAGTATATAATCCTCACACAGCAATATAATGTATGGTGTATCTGCAATCCCAAGATTATGTATAGTCAACTGTCTTTTCTTCCCCACATTCAAGCCATGACCCGCTCTGCCTTCCCTCACCTCCGTAACATCGCCCGACTCCGCCACTACCTCACCCCTCAGGCCGCTGAAACTCTTGTTCATGCCTTCATCACCTCCAGGCTCGACTATGCAAACGCTCTGCTTGTCGTCCTTCCCAACTCCTCCCTCCACAGGCTGCAGATAATCCAGAACACTGCAGCCCGTGTCCTCTCCCGCACCAAACTCCGTGACCCGGTTTCCCCCATTCTCGCCCGACTCCACTGGCTCC